AGTCGGAAAGCACGGGAGATCACTTCGCCCACTGCCTCATCGCCTTTGAAAATGTCCTCCGCAGTTGTGGACGAAACGTCAGGAAGAAATTCCGATAGACCACGGCTTCAAAGCCCGGAAAACATTCCTAAATGCAATTTAACCGGCCGTGAAAGCCTTCATAGTCTGATAATTGATTTTCAGACCAATCTTCTTCCTTTACGCCAGTCTTAAGTTAGTGAGTGGACTCTTGATGCTGTTCATCAATTTGGAATTTAAAAAAGCAGCTTCCAGCGTGGTCACCGATGTCATTCAAGTACTTAAGAAACTAGAACTGATTGCCCTGTTTATTTCCTGCCTAATTCTTGGTGGGTTGTTAATATCAATCTCCATAATCCACTCTAACTCATTAATTTCCAGGTTGCGCTTGGGGGTTCATAGAAAGCTTCCTCTTTTGGCTACTAGAAGATCTGGGCGCCTCCAAATCGTTAATGGGACTAACCATCACAGTAGGAGGCATTGTGGGCATTCCTCTCCTGGTACTTTCAGGCCCCATAATCAAGAAGTTGGGCCATGCCAATGTTATATTCATAGGGTTTGTTTTCTACGCCGTTCGGCTAGTTGGGTATTCGTTAATCTACGACCCCTGGTTGTGTCTGATCTTTGAAGCCATGGAGAGCATCACTTTTGGGCTCAGTTTTACTGCTGCAGTTACTTATGCGGCGCGATTATCCACTGTTACCACAGATACCAGCATCCAAGGGATGCTTGGAGGAATCTACTATGGAGTGGGTAAGGAAGAACATTCGCAGATAAAGCTTTCAGCATTAATCGCATTGATTGATAAATTCTTTGTGGTTCTAGGAAAGGGAATCGGAAGCTTAATTGGTGGATACCTGATAAAACCAATAGGAATCAGACATACATTCCAACTGTTCTCCATCGTTATTTTAATAATTGGACTGATGTACTTTGCTTTTTACCATTTCTACATGAAGCAACGACCTTCTGAGGGAACAGACATTACCAAAAAGGACTCTGTTCCTTCTCCAGATGGTTTTGCAGATATCAACTTGAAAGATGAATCTGCTTTAAAATCCGACATACATGAACTACCCGCAGCGGTTTATGAAGACGCGATGTGCAATCCTGCATACGAAGCTACAGAGGACGATATTGCAAAGGACGACGACGAAAGTAAAACTGCAAACGGAAAACTAGGAATCTAGAATTATTCACTCATTTCACTTCATTCAGCTAGCGTTAAAGTGGCTTTATGTTCCTATTTCTCGAGAAACAACTACATTCTTGTAAAAGACCTATTATGCATTTAACTGAAGCAGAGTATTTTAGATATATTTTATTGTTTTGATTTTAATGTTGACTATTTTCCTGTTATTAGTACATAGTTTATCTACCGCGCAAGTGGAAGTTTCAAAAATGATTATTCTATATAGAACGTTATAATAATAATAACGTGTTAATATAAACGTAATTTATTTTCCTCTTTTAAGGACTGAGGCTTGTATTTACAATAGTTGAAACATGCTTTGCCGTTCATTTTTACTGAAATGAATATTCAAAGCTAAGATTCAAATGACAACCTCAAGATTAAATTCCATCTGTGATATGAATAAAATAAAAGTACCCTAGAATTGAGTCGTGTTTTATTTCATAAATTGTCGATTTTCGTCTACGTGTCCTTACTTTCGCATTTTAGACTAAAAACACTAAAGTTAAAAAAATATTTTCAATAAAAAAGTAAGCACACTCGAGGAAAGGAAAACTAAACTAGAGTCGAACTTCTACAACTTGAACATAATCCTAAACTTAAAAATAAGCTTATTCACGCAACGTAGTTTGAGCGATCAAATTTGGAAATTTCTATCTGAATACGTATTCAGCCCTGTGCKGTATCATAAATGCTATTTTTAACGGCCACACGTTATGGCAACTTAACAGTTCAGGATAACATTTTYGATAACGCAGCAACACAACCGATGATTTGCATTCGCTTTTAATTTCGTTTGTTATTGTTCTTGACCTATCTTCTCAAACACTTTCAATGGAGCATATACAGAAGAAAAAAAAAACAACCCGCAAACAATTTGAAAATTTAGTAGTTTGTGGACAAAAATAAAGTTTATTTTCAAGACCATTTACTAATTGTTCTAATAAAGCTAACCTTATGAGACCACCAAAAGACATATTTTTGTTTTAAATTAAAAACAAATTATAGCTAAAAGACAAAACTACACTCTGATTAAACACAATTGATTTATTTATTCCCCGAAGTTAACTTCGAGGGCAGCACGTTAAGTTCGAAAGCGGCATGTGATTTGATGCTGTTATTCTGAAGCGCTATTTCTTCATATAACGTTCGTCGATAGCGTGCGCTTGTTATAATATAAAGGTTTGACTGATACAACACACGAGTTGGAGCCACATAACGTGTTTGACGGATAACATGCACGTTAAAGTTAACGTGAGTGATACAGCACAGGGCTGATTTAAATGTTTTTGCGCAAAAAAATTGTCTGCTTTCTTGCCACTCAACAATGTTAGTCACCCAAGTTGTCTTCGCTAAACCCTAATTCTTTGACCATGTCGGTCACTTCTGCATTAGAAAAGATCGTTCGAAACGAATTTGTGTGATTCATTAACAATTAATTTATGCCTTGTATCACGATATTTGCAGTTATTGTCTAACATTGTTAAGTTGCAAGAAAACAGAAATATTTTTTTCGCAACAACTATGAGTGCTACAAGATTTTACAGAGCACACAATTGTAAATACATGATTAGTGCATCAACCAAAAAAAAATGAGTTGATTTCATCCTCCAAATATAAAGTTCTGGTAGTTTTTGTACCACGACACTCAAGAATTCACCACTTGTCCAAAACGGCTGAACTCCATTGTTTCATCAAAATATGAGTCTTACATAAGAACAAATTCACAGTGAGTTTCATTAAAATACATCGTACCATTCTCCCGATATTTCAAAAAAGATAATAATAAATCTACGTTTGCCGATTTTTCGACCACCGCCATTTCTCCGTCGGGTCACCCCGATTGCGACGAATTTGCGAATATTGAGGGCTTTATCTCGTCTTTGTCTATGATTGAGGTTTCTTAAATGTCTAGTGATGGAAGTTCGGTTGGAAGCAAATTATACACTTGAACGTTAAGAAGTCGCTACTATTCAGACATAAGTTCAGCTTCTGGTGCGACAGTGACGATTTTCGATTTATTTCCCAAGGAATTCTCTTTGGTATCATTGGCTAACTGTTCAGCCAAGCAATTTGCTGATGTTGACAGTACGTTAAACTGCTTTTTTCGACTGTCCAGCTTATTTTCTAGTTGCTTCTTTTCGGAGGCCAACTCTGCGAGTTCTTTTTGGAGGACTTTTAGGTTTTTATTCATTTCTGTGCGTGGAGGTTCCTTAGCAATCGCCTTAGCCAATAAGTCGTACTGAATTCGATTTTGTTTGATAATCTTTGCCTGCTCAAGCTCATCTTTTTGCGTAGAAATTTCCCTCTTTTTAATACGGATGTTAGTTTCCATTTCTGCCTGTAGCGCCTTGTACTTTGCGTTTTGCTCTTCAGTTTGCTTGCGAACAAACTCGGAACGATGTCGGGAATGTTCAACTAAAGCTAATTGAGCAAGAATTTTATCACTTATCACCTGGCAGTCTTCTTCGGATTCATCAGCTGTGTTAATCCATTTAGAAATTATTTTCATCATAACATTGAGGCGACGGTCTTCGCCTGTACCATCTCCATCAAAAATTAAACGTCTCTTGATAACGTCCTCTGAAATAAAAAAAACCCATTAATAAAAATGACTTGAAACAACAAAAAAACGAAAGATGCCTCGTGCAAGTTCTAAAGATATTAAACCAAGCGTGCTCACGAAACGCCGGAATCAAATTTCTATTGACTATAGTGATTGAATGAGGGATATAGAGCAAATTATTTTGCGCCGACTGCTAAAAAGGTGCATGGTTGGGGTTAGAGCAGAAAGCAGAAATCTGTGAAAGCCCTAAAGCCAACTAGCACGAGTCTTAGAAACCCACAAATCTTACAAAGAAAACATGTGTAAATGAAATAATAGTATTGCCACTTACCTTCAGACATTCTGTATACAGATGTAGCAACACACTAAATCAGTTCAAACAGCTTTTTTTTTGGAAATGTGGGAAATGCGAGCATACACAATAAACAAGCTTGGAGTCATAGATAAAGACGAGTTCTAGAACAAATTGGTTATGTTGCTAAAATCGTCCTTTCTCTCGGAAATAATAAAAAGTGGAACTCTGTAAGGGAAGTACTGCTTATTGTACAGCATCTCCAACAGATGGCGGGGCAAATACTATTCTGAGGAAAACTTTGTATGTATTTCTTAACGGTTTGGACAGTGTATTCCTTGACAGGTCAGATTCATAATTTTTTTGTGAGGAAATTCTGAATAGGGATTGATAAAAACTCAAGAATCTAATGTAAATAAAATTTTATTGGGGAAAATACTTTTGAACACACCCCTATAGTGTCATTAACAATCCTCCCACCACCATGTCACGAATTTAGAACATGGCTGCCGTTTTGTTGTAAACATAAATTTAACTTAGAGGGAAATGCTTATTTTAAATTAAAAATACTTCGGCTAAATGTTGTTCAACCATAGAGTTGTGTTGTTTGTGCTTTGAGGAAGCCATCAATATAGGCCACCCGCATGGTTTTTAATTCAGATGTCAGCTGTTACACATCCCGTAGCAGGTTAGTACAAAATAAGGGTAGTTTTTCCAATAAGGGCTGGCAGAATTCAACAAACCAGTTATTGTCGACGCCCTGGCTTGATTTCATTATTCGCATAACACTGGACAAAGCTCTGGGAACGTTTGTTGTTCTCAATGCATTGGACACACTTTTTAAATAACTTGGCTATTATGGTAATTAGAGATGACTTTCAAATCTGAATTGCTCGACTGATTTATCTTCTCCACCAGTCTCACATATGTTATCGAATGTGAGAATGTATAACTAAAGATAACATGAATAAGTAATATGTTTATATAACAAGGCTGAAGATTTCTGAACACTGAACTACAGCTTCTCTCACTAATGTCTTGCGTCTCTTATAGGTGCTGATCCCACGAAGGGTATCCCGAAAAGAAGGGCTGTCAGCATAGGGTAAGTCCAGACGCACCATATAGGGCATGAATTCAAAAACATACATCCAATAGGGCAATAAGTATTTGCCCAAAAACCCTCTCGTCTCTAACTGCTCTGAAAATGAACCTTTTAAGCAAAATTCAAACCTCACTAATAACAATTGAGGCCTGTTACATTGCAGTTCAATGCATGCCAATTCTGCAATAAAAAGACACATTAGGGCATAACACAGCACCATTTTATATAAAATAGACCAACTTAAGCAATCGTTAACAACTCTTTGTTAAAAATGTTATGTAAATTATGAGTGTTATTGAGATTTAAAGTCGTGCTTCAAAATCTAACTTACCCAAAGGGAGCTTATATACATAATCCCGATAAACCGTGCAACTTAAGGGCAAAGCACTTTCCGAATAAAATCGATGCCTTTTTGCATTTTGTCGTAAACCATCTATAATGGTACTGTGTTGTGTGTAAATAGAACAATTCACGTTCAGGCACCATTTTCGTCTATTTCATTTATCTGTAAATGCAAAAAATATGTAGGTAGAACGCACATATAAAGCTGTTGCCTCGACTGTTGGGTGTTGGTATTTATGTAAATTGGAAACGCTTCATGCCGTTTTCTAGATTCAATTACGATAAGGGAAAATATTTCTTATCATTTAATGGATTGTACTTAATGCTGTTCTTATACCACTTTTAGGATCATTTTTCCTTTATCTTGTCTTTCCATTCTCACCTCATTTTTTTAAATACGCATTACCCTAGTTTAGATGCCAATTGATAGTTTAAAGGCTATTATTATTCAGTACTTTTGGAATACTTATTCGATATTTCAATTTTTAAGAAAGTCGGAAAAACGGAAAGGCGGAATAGTTAATGATATTTAGTGTGAATTGATGAAGTATTTGGGGATCATTTTTGACTACAATTTAAAATGAAATGAGCATATTCATAATTCACTAAGGAAAACAAGATATTTAATATATGCTTTTTACAAGCTATTCGAAATGCATGCAATCAGAGACACTTGGGATAATTTATTTTGCGTTTTTTCATAGTATTATTACTTGAATTATTTGATTATATATAATCTGTGGTAATATTCTCACAGAAATATAGCATGGGGAGGTGCATATAGAAATACTATCGATCCTTTACAGAAACTACAAAAAAGATTAATAAAAATAGTAAATAAGGGACCTTTAAACTTAAATACATTTTTTGCTTTCCAATGTCTCAGCTATCACATTACACTCAAGTGCCTATACCTTAAAAGCACTAGCGTAACTAGAAATAAATATATAATGCTTCCAAAATGTACTAAGACTGTAAGCAACAAAAATAATTATAATAAAGCGATTGGAGTATATAACTTGCTTCCGAATTCGAATCCAAATCTGAAAATTATTGACATTGCCAAAAGTTATGATAGGAAAAATATAAAGACCTGGAGGATTACATCTAATATATTTTGAATACCTGATGTCTCTCTTTGTATTTTGGAAGTTATAACTTGATGACTAAAGGTCTCTCGCTGCTTAATGCACAATTTACAATTTAACGTCTATTTAGTTTTAGTATTACTTATTAGTTTGTTACCGGTACAAGTAGTTTGTCTACGTTTGTAGGGTTTGGGAGCTTCGGGTTATATCTTGAAGTCAGCCCAAATACGTATGGTGGCGAATAAATAAATTCTTGCGGTAATGACCGTGCAAAATTTTGCCGATAAATCTGTTTTCCTTTCATCTATTTCTTCTCAACCGGTTGCTATTCTAAGCAAATTCCAAGAATATGTGTGGTACTTCCTGTTAAAATGTTCATTCATAGGTGATCATTTACTACAAGGCGACATCCTCTATACCTTAGTTTTATATAGTATTTTAAGGTCTTCTACCTGTCGTGCACCAACCGACATTTCCAGGTAAATCTTTATTCAGCCGTCTGAGGAAATTTATTATCTTATGACAACTGCAACTAACTGTGATATAAATTGTAAAATATTATGCAGGTATACGAAGCTACCTTTCACAAATGTCGCTTTATTTTTCGTGGCGATTCGGAATATTTTACATTGACTTTTTTCAGTAAATGGTTCAAAGGTTTATTGGATTAGGGGGATTATTCAGAAAAATGGTTTCGTCGGATTGCCTCAACACAAAATTCTTTGTTAAATTTTTATAGTTCATTGGCATCTTTTGTCAACGTTTTCTACTTTAGAAAGCAACATTCCTCATTGCAATTTTATCCACGCTTCTTGCAAACAGTTTCCAGCCTTTCGAATCTGACGACATCCAACATTATTATCAAAGTACGTAAAAAATCGCTCTGGAAGCCCGTCCTATTAAAATGCGCCGGTTTGAACTTGTTGTCATTTATAAGGCTTTATGGTGTTATCCCCGATATTTTAAAATCTGGTAACTACATCGTCAATCTTCATACACGTCTAGAGAATGTTATATGTCACGAAGGTGAACCATAATGCTGTTCTCTCTCGCCAACGTTTTTCCATATTTTTTGCTCAATATACTTTGTAATACCCCGTAAAACTCTTGAAATGTATTCCATGGAGATCATAAGCTGAGAAAGTTGCAAAGTCAAATTAAACCTTCTTATTCCTGAGATTAGATGGCCTTAAAATTTGGAAGCTGAGACTAAAAGAAGACGCTTACTGCAGAAACATGAATGGGGAAATTTCGGGATCAAATAAAAAAATATAATGTTGAAGTCGTTGCCGGAATATTCTTCCGGGGGCTGTTGATGCAAAAATAATTTCTATTGACGATAAAAGGTGAAAAAAGCGAGAGCCTATTTTTCATGACACTGCAGCCCCCTTCCCTTGGGTATAATCCAAAAGAGTTCGTCTTTTGAGGGCAATACGTGTACTAAATTTCAAGTCTACTTCTATTTGTGAAAGAAAGTTCAAGTTTCGTTTTCATCTCCAGTTATTCTATGTTATGCCCAAGTTTAACCAGGTATCCTAATATTGTCTCTCTGTGCGAAAGCATTTTTTTTCTGATTTATAATCAATCCTCTTAATCAAGATGGGTAATTAAAAAGCGGCAGTAAACTGCTTTTAAGAACTGCAAGCCATCAATCAAATGCCACACTCGATTTCTACGAATGACTCTCTATACCTGTCATCTTTTTAGTTTAAAACATCCTTTGAATTCCTGCAGGTGCCGAGTTATATTAAATACCTGTGTGAGATTCACTGAATATGGCATGTAATAAAATTCACTGGAGGTGATATTATGTACTCTCAACTAGTATATTCAGCGAAGAGCCATTAAATAAAATAAAACCTTGCTGGGCTGAACTAATGGCTTTTAAACCATATCATTCACTGAAAGTTCAGATAATTTTCCAAATGGTTTAATAATCGCCCTCTCATATACAACACATGTTTCTATTGATAATCTACACGAAAAATTCAAATCAAACCACTTTTCCTATCTGTGGACGTGAGTAATTAAAACAAGCTTGATAAAACCATCGTCATGTTTGCCTAGGTTGTCTTAGTTTAAACAAAAATAAATTTCATATTTATTGCTTGCAATCGTAAAATATTCACATAAGCAAAAGGTGATAAAATTGGTTCTGTTAATAGCTGAAAACCTCTGCTACACAGTTCTCAATCACTTATTCAATGGAATTAGGAAAATAATCTGCTTTTCTTTAACCGTACAATCAATTTTATTTGAATATTTTGCATAAAAAATTCGGGTTCTTAAAGGGAAAGAAGAACGAATTTATTCAGATCAGAACTTTTTTAACATTCGTAAATTATTGGGAATTGTTGTGATCATATGAAACTGGACAATTACAAACGTTGTATTTAAAAAAAAGTTGTTTGTTTTGTTTATTTAGATATTTTGCTTCCAAATTTGGGATTAGATAAGTTCTAAATGATTGAGACGGATTCATGTTTATTTATGAAATTTGCCATGCAATTCATAACCATTGAAATAAGTCTTTTTAAAAGACAAAAACTTTGAGGGAAAATACCCAACAAAACGGGTTTGAAACAAAAAAAATTGGTATTGTTGTAAAAAGTTCCACACATTTTTCAGGCAAAATATCCAAATAAAATTGATTGTGTGATTTGTAATCTACTGAAACAATTGCGCTTTGATTGATGTGGATTCGAGTAACAGCGCCGAATTTTTGCACTAGCAGTTTTGAATAATGCGTTTTTTAAACAAGTTGTTGATAAATATTACTGTTTTGTATCTACGGGGGCAAAAGTGGCAATAAAGAAAAACCGTCGTCGGGTAACATCGGAAAATACATAATGAAAAGCAACGAACGGAGACAATTTTCATAAATAAAACATTAGAGGTTTAAGTTAAGGAAGCGAAGTAACAATTTAAAGCACTCTTTAGGTTTTATATCAGAGACTATAAACTTTCGGTTTTTTATATTCGAGTTTAGGCCACGGCATGAGGTTACTGCAATAATGCGAGACCACTTCGTGCTTTACCTTTTTCCATTATTCATTCGTTTGGATGGCGGAATCGCAACAAATATTTAAATGGTCTAGTTTCCATTGTTAAAGGGAATACTTAGGCTTTTCTCCTTGTCTACGCCCAGCGAAACATCTAGCGATAGTTTCGCATTCAGATTATCCGCGTCTGCAGCATTTTACAATGTTAAAACCGAACGTTCTTTTGCATTGTTCTAGCCAACTTTGCAATTTAAATCAAGGGAAACTTAACAAACGTTGGCACGTTCTGGTGTTTCAGTTTTAATCAAATCGATCTTTGATCGCGCCAAAAGTGTCAAGTTTAACAATATTATTCGTATGGTTGAGCAGGTTGAGCAGTACGGAACGAAACCTTGTAGTCGAATAAATAATAAGAGACGTTAATATAAACTTGTGTCTTTTAGCTTTATTAACACCAAAAAAGGTTTATATTCGGCTTAAAAAATGGAAAGTAGTCGCATTACAAAACGACCCAATGCTTTCCAATGAATGGAAAAATTAAAAGAATTAGGGCAAAGAGTACAGTTTTTGATGAGAAATTAAGTGAAAATTTTAATGCTTTTAAATCGAATAAAGTGGCTACGCATATCGGTTACATGTAATAGTCGTTTCGGTCAACAAAAGTCTCCTTTAGGTTGTGTTTTTGGTGCATTCTTGTGATTTTATTAACAAATCGTGATTCATTTAGGTTTCACTATACAAGAAGGGACAGTTTTTCTGCAACTAACCTAATTGAAAATCGCATTAAAACTGTTAAGCTGGCCACTTAAGCAATCTAAACACTTGAAAATCCTATTCAAAGAGGCAAAAGAAATGCCTTTTGTATTGTACTCCAAAAAGTGGAACAGCAACCGGCAGATAAAGGCAAACAACAAAAAAAAGAGGAGAGAACATGGCAACGCCAAAAAAACGAGAAAAGAGACGTAGCTAAAATGGCAAAGCAACAATCTGAAGTAGTAGCAAATCAAAATAAAGCTAGGCACCAGAAGGCTACAAAACTAAGCAATGATTTGAAGATTGATAGTTTGCGCGAATAGGGGACAAAATCAGTTAATATAATATCGAATAGGTATTCAGCTCAATAAATCTGTCGAAATTGCTAAGAAAAAGGGAAAGAAAAATGTGGATACAAGAAGGCGCGAGAAAACTCTGTACCAATGTTCACTTTGATCCGCGAGGAAATGTTTAGAATATGTCAAAAATAAATTGTTTGATGATAAATTGTTACATGATTCAAAATTTTCTAAAGGATTTCTGAACACCCTATATTAAAAAAATCCCGTAAAAAATTAATGAATGCAGCTAAAATGAAATGGACCTCCTGATGTGCTTAAAGTAATTAGATCAGGGTAAAAATTAAGAATCCGTTGTAATTGCTGTGAGGGAGCAAGTAAATAAGCTGGAAAGTAGTGATGTGAATGGCGCTTGAAGCAAAATGCGGCCGAAAGCTATTTTGCAATCCCGCGCGAATACGGATAAGTTTTGAGAAAAAGTCTATAGGTACCTAATTTGGTGAAAGAAAAATACACCAACACCCTACGTGGAGTGTTAAGGAACTTACCGATAAAACTGGGACTATTGAACGAGACTTGGTTGGAGCAAGTATAAATGAGGCGTGTGCAGACGCGGTTGTCGTTGTACTGGATTGAAATCCCCCAACTAGGAGTACGCAAATAGTGGAGAGTGGAGTACCGTAGTATCCGTTATCAGCCACCAACCACTTTGTGGTAGTTCCACCCCACCACAATTATTACTCCACCATGTCGGCGGAGTCATCCATCCGATTGCTGTCAGCAGGCACTGTATTCTTTGCCTTTCGCGTGGCCAGCATTGCTTCGCTGCATTACGTCTCCCCTCTGAATTCTCGATTACGTCGTGTTCTCATCCCATGTGCTTTCGCGACAGTTTGCCTCAATCCGCTTTGGAAAACAAGAACTTTTCTATTAGAAAAGTTCCCCCCGGTATGTTTTCATTTAGTGACGTGTGACATCGTGTAAATGCCGTTCCATTCACATTAATTTCAATTTTATGAAGCACCGGCGGATATTGGAAAATGTTATGTTTTTACTCTAAAACGCTGTTGTTATGATCGCAAACAGTGCAACCGAGTAACCAGTCTAGTCACAAGGAGTTGTGCGGTTCCGTTTAGTTTGTACAAAAATGAACCCTTGGTTGTGACCCGACGCCTTTTCAATTCGGGAAAATTCACATGCTCCAAAGCCGACTGCAGCAATTCCCTTGGAACGTTTGATCAACAGCTTCCAGTGTGGATATGTACGCGTATGCGGGTGGTGGGCCTCCCCATTATGCGCCCCCACCGACTTATCTACAACCCCATCCGCCCCCCGGACCTCCAACGCACAACTTGCAAGTCCCACCTGTTGGCATTGGTCATCAAGAAGCCAACCCTGTTGCCCATTACTCAAAAAAACGAAGGTACAATTCACTTTTGCCACGACCTGATAACCAGATCAACCTCGAAGAGTTTCTAATCCGAACACTCTTCAGCTCTGCAGTTGATGCAGTTCTAAGCGCAGCCCTACTAATCCTGTAATATGTGTATTGGCACAAGAAATAGGGAGCTGAGGAGCACAAGTTGTTTCCAGTTAATGTACTAACTCCAACCAAATCTTTGTCTATTGGTACTAATCCAATCTTCCAATTTTGATGGGCGGTAGTTTTTCCACAATGGTAAACTAATTCTTCGTTATAGTTTTGCATGCGATGTCACTTTTTAACAACGGCATATAACTATGACTAGTTAAAAAATACGATTTCGCACCAAAGGCCACTTTTCCAATCAATCCAATTTTCCATATCAATTTGTGGGCACTATAAATTCTATTAACTTTAATAAGCAAACTATATTTTAAAATTCGCTTCAAATGCCCGGTTGGTGTAATCGTAGATCCAACTACATAGTTTAAATTTAATAAGCGCAATTAACTTGCATACCTACAAAGATTATTTCCGGATTCAAATACTCATTTATCGTTTAGATGAAGTTTACTTTATATCCCACACATTTTCAATTACAGAGCTTAAAGTAATTAAGTCTTTTGCTGCATTTTTTAAGGTTTACGTGCTTTACCTCATTTTTCTATTAAGATGTCTTGTCCGATAACTCCTTCATTAATTTCTAACAGTGCTCATCTAAGTTAATTCTGAATTTATTATTGTAATTGGCTGTAGTTCTCTACTTACCATACAGGAAAATATAACTTAAGCAATTATCTTGATAGTTAATCTTAATTCATTATTGATTTTGTGCGCATAGTAAAAGAGCTGTTGTGGGCAGGTATCAAAGTTACAACCCCAAGGTGTTCAACGTTTAATCTTTGTTTGCGTTTTATTAAATCAAAACTTTACTTACCTCACTCCCTCATAAAACATCTTTAGAATGTTTTAGCACACTCACATTTGCCCTTTAAAACAGCAATAAAACTGTTATAAAATAAGTCTATTGTTGAGCTTTAAAAGCACTAAAAGTCCCACCTTTCCAACAGCTTTGGTCTTAACGCACACAATTTTGCTATTTTGGAATATTTGGATGTAAAACATTCATAGAAGCGCAGGCTCTTAAAACTTGGCTAAGTTATAAGAACTTTCCAAATCCAGAAAAGTAGATAACTAGAAACGTGTTTGAAGAAAAATTAAAATCGAGGCATTTAATTTACTAACGTTCTAGTTGTCCATCCTCTTTCCAACATTACTATTGGTAAATCCATGTTTACAAAGGGCAGTTTTGGGCCTTCAAATGCTTGAATACAGCAACATTGTCTTGGGCAAAACATGTTCAAGTTTGGATCGTTTTCGGACTACATCTCAAATTTGTCGATGTTTCTGGTAAATAAGATGGGCTCCAGATAGGATTGTTATTGAAAGGGAGAGATAATTTTAAAGCTGTTGTCTAGGCTAGCATGTGTTGTTGGCTGCCATTTCCATTTATATGTTTGTCAGGCTGGAATTTCTAAAGGGCGATATAAATAGCGATTTAATGGGAGTTGCAATTGCCTTCTTTTTTTAATTCGGTAGTTTTGAGTGTTATTCAATATTTACTACGGCGTTTGATGGTCTTATTGTATTTCCTGGAAAATGGCGCAAATTCATTTTCCCACCGTGAACTCCCCCAATAGAAGTTGCATTCCTGAGTAAGTAAGTCAGTGCAAAAGAGATCATTGAACAATTTTACGGCCATGAATAGACAATATACAGCTCGAGAATTTATGCCTTTCTACCTGCCCTTGCGAGTCGAAGGTGTCACTGAACGAAAAAAATTAGCCGCTTCTTTGTGGGATTACAAGGCAAAGACCGTAATTATGTGCTTTTGTCACCCGTTTGATTTTTCACTACTAGAACCCCCTGTATGTGTCACAGTGCATTTTAATAACATCGGATAGATTTCGCAATTCTTTGTTTAATTGACCTAGAAAATTGTGTTTTTCATAACATGACTAACAGCTACATGCTATATCAGCATTCAAAACATAATGTTTTAAACATATTATATGTTTCAGTGCTTTCCTCGCTCTTATCTTGGAGTTTCCATTTTTAGTCTTGTCTTTATCAATCGTGTTTCTGCTTAATCTACATGTATTGCTCTCAAATTACGTGTAAAGTTTCCATGCCTTTCTTCAGCAGCAGCTCTACAATTTCACCAATCCAATTTAATAAATATTCTTTTGTTTTTTTTTTTCTTGCTAGATTCTGACAATTTTTTTTAGCGCCGGATATTTTGTATTAATTATTGTATTGAGACGTCGTGATACGCATCATTAACAGCTGAAACTGTTAGAGTGAGTATACCAGTAGCTTTGTGCCCATCAAAAGGCAATTTAGTTAACCAGGCATGTACACATTTTAAGGGGTTTCAGGAAATGAGAATAACGCATTTATAAACAAAATAATAAAAGCTGAAACGCATCGCGCATAATTATTTGATATCAGTTTCGGAACATCTTTAGAACGAACGGCCGCAGACCTCTGTGACCTTTTGGTTTGATTCACAAAGGTTTGAAGAATTTCAATTCGGTCCGGACCCTTGACGAATCAAAACTGTCTTTCTGGGAACGAAGTTTGCGTTAGTTGGGATGCTGGATGATTTTCGAAATTGAATTTTGGATGTGGGTATTGAGTTAGTGTTTGATGGTGCTAGTCGTAGCTGCATGAAATCGATATGAACCGATTATTTTGACGTCAAATCGGGAATTAGTTATCCCATATTAATACAAGAGCAAGTAAAAAGGGTCTCGTTTCTAACCGCATCATCGGTATTTGCTGTTATTTGCCTTGGTTGGGCGATTACTCTCTGTGCAGTTCTAAATCTGTGTTACGTGCCGTGATCGGCCGATAAAGGTCTCATTAGTAAACCGTAAATCGGATGATAGTGTCCCCTTTCTCCCTTGCTTGTAAATTACCCACCCCCCTTCGGGCGGTCCTATTTAGATATCTGGCTTTCGATGATATATTTCTTATTGGAAGTTTTAAATGGTTCCAGCTAATCAGACATTTATATCAAAAGCCATATTTCATCAGAATGCATTTCTAGTCCAAGCGTTGTATGGCAAAAGGTAACATCCTGTATATTCAAACACGCAAGACACCCTTTGGAAAATAAAAACATTTCCGGTGATGTAGTGTTTGTTTCCGTGTTATCCGGCTGAGGATCAAAATGTTTATGTGTCTCCTTGTATCCCCTTCCTACCCGCAGCTCTTGTTTAGACAGCTAGGAGGGATTTGTATAATGACGAGTTAAGAGGGCTTCCCTACCTTTTATACGCACCCTTCATTTGCATATCTACAATATCTTTACTTAGATCTTTAGCAAAACTTAAAAGATTGACGAAGCATTTTGCGTCTATTATTCGCTTGTGTCAGTATTATCGCATATGAACCGCTTTATTAATCATCTGAGAATTCCCATAAAATTCAATTGTTCAAGCTAATATCGCAAACAGAATGGCCATTTTCCAGTACTATCATTATGAACATTGCTTGACATGACTACTGGTTCAATTCAGTACCACCCATTCGTTGGCAGCGTTGGGTTTGTGATTTTTTTCGTTAATATTCCACCAAATTTCCTGTGCAAAATGTGGAACGCCGCGATTGAGCTAGATATTCTTTTTTGTTGGTGAGTAAACTATCCACTTTAACACATCTAACAGAGCACTTACTTGGCTGCAAAACGAGAAATAACTGAGCCAGCATCGGATTGCACAAAATGTCAGTTGGGAAGTTGCAATTTTAGTTTCCGCCCACTAACTCCTTCGGAAATAATTGGTTGTTCGTAACTGCTAATAAAGGAAAAAACTTCGACCCTTATACGCCAAATTTTCTAAAAATGCATGAAAGAATTGAAAACCTCCAAGTCACTTTCGGGATTTCCATAAATAACAATTAAGTAATCTTAAAAGCAGGTAATCATTACCTTTCAATCTCATTTCTACGTGAAGGTACATAAAAAGATCTAATTATAGGCTGGAATCGTTTATCGTTATGCTGCAGATACTTTTGAGGGTAAAGTAAGTAGTCTAATAATACCACATAATTAAGGGGCATTTTTGTTCACTTTATTGTTGTACGCCAGTACGGAAAATAAATTTCCTTTATGGCCGTTAATTTTTTTGCTTGGATGTTTGCTGGGTTTATTGAAACGGGTTTTCAGATGTTTTCTGCGACTCATCAAAGTTCTCTTGCTCATATTGGCTAGGTATTCGCAAAATACGAGTTCCAAAGGTTCAGAAGGTTTTTTGACACAACCTGGAGAACATTGGAACAGAAATATTGGAGACATTTTAAAAATTTAAAATTCAGTTTTTTCTGGCTCAGTCTGGATTTCAAAAATTCGTGGCTTCCAAACTAGAAGAGGTGAGAACGCGCTTTTCTGCCTCAACATGAGAAAGAGTCTTATTAACATGCTCGGTTTGTTTGGCTTTAATGTGGTTTAAAACTCAGTTTTTTTGCATTCGCAGATGAAAACGCGCTTTTTTGCCTCAACATGAGAAAAAGCTTTATTAAGATGTTCGGCTTGTTTGGTAGCAATCGGACCACTAATAGATTTTGGAGGAATTTTTAAAGTTTCAAACTCAGTTTTTTGTGCCGCGGTCCGGCATTAAAAAATTCGTCGCTCTCAAACTAGAAGAGATAAAAACCCGCTTTTTTATCTCAACATGAGGAAAAGATTTATTAAGATGCTCGGCTTGTTTGGTAGCAAACGGGCCACTAACAGATTTTGGAGGAATTTTCAAAGTTTCAAACTCAGTTTTTTGTGCCGCAGTCCGGAATTCAAAAATTGGTCCCCCCAAACTAGAAGAGATAAAAACGCGCTTTTTTGCCTGAACATGAGAAAGAGCTTTATTAAGATGCTCGGCTTGTTTGGTAGCAATCGGGCCACGAACGCATTTTGGAGGAATTTTCAAAGTTTCAAACTCAGT